TAGTTCTATACATAAAGGGTAACTCATTCACAACTGCGTGAGTACAGGAGTGTGAGGCAGTATGTCTGGCCGCATACTTTGCTACTCACATTTGCGTGAGAGGTATTCAAGTACATTGTGTGTTTGGTTCTGTACATGGGAACTGATATAGTTACTAAGTGCAAAAAGTGGATACAATCTTAATATGTCGGCTATCTTGCCATTAGAGATGAAGTGTTGTGCCATTTCACACACAGTGTGCTTGGACCTGTCCCTAAAAGGTTCTATCTTCACACAGTCGAGGACGTAGTGTTCAAGTGTGTGGCCATATGTATGGCCACACACTTGACATTTAGTCTTGTTCACATCTTCCTGAGGAACATACTGCCAGAGGTACTTATATCCTAACCTTAGTCTAGCGGTTACAACATCTAGTGATCTTGTTACTTGCTTAGGATTGGGGAGGGGGTGGGGTGGGGTGTCGTCCACCTATGGTAAAACATTGGTGGTTGTGAGTTTCAGTGTTGCAGTTGTTGTTTCATGGCACTTAACTCACCGTGATACTGTGGACAAATGTAAAGTACTCAGTATAGGAGATGTAAACAGGGAAACCAGTTACCAAATGAACAACGATGCCATTGAGAAATCCGAATGCGAGAGAGATTTAGGAGTAATGATAAGTAGGAACCTTAAACCAAGTAAACAATGTGTATTTGCTCGTAACAAGGCTAATAAAGTACTTGGGTTCATACAAAGGAGTGTTAGTTACAAGACTAGCTAGGTCATCCTAAAACTGTATCTTGCCCTTGTGAGACCACACTTGGATTACGCAGTTCAGTTCTGGTCACCGTATTACAGAATGGATATAGAATCATTGGAAAGAATTCAGAGGAGAATGACAAGACTAATCCCGGGCATTAGGAACCTTGAGTACAGAGACAGGTTAAAGCATCTTAATTTGCACTCCCTCGAGAGACGTAGAGTGAGGGGCGACATGATAGAGGTGTATAAATGGAAGTCAGGGCTAAACAAAGGGGACATTACAAAGGTACTCAAACTATCCAATCAGGAACGAACTCGTAACAATGGTGGATAAAAGGGATTACTTATTACCCACCATTAACTTATGTGTTTACACCACTAACTTTTACGTATGCACCAGTAGCATATGTGTTCACCAGTGGCATATGTGTTCACCAGTGGCATATGTGTTCACCAGTGGCATATGTGTTCACCAGTGGCATATATGTTCACCAGTGGAATATGTGTGCAACAGTAACTCGTAAGTGTCCACCAGTAACTCGTAAGTGTCCACCAGTAACTCGTAAGTGTCCACCAGTAACTCGTAAGTGTCCACCAGTAACTCGTAAGTGTCCACCAGTAACTCGTAAGTGTCCACCAGTAACTCGTAAGTGTCCACCAGTAACTCCTAAGTGTCCACCAGTAACTCCTAAGTGTCCACCAGTAACACCTAAGTGTCCACCAGTAGCTCCTAAGTGTCCACCAGTAGCTCCTGAGTGTCCACCAGTAGCTCCTGAGTGTCCACCAGTAGCTCCTGAGTGTCAACCAGTAACTCCTAAGTGTCCACCAGTAACTCCTAAGTGTCCACCAGTAGCTCCTGAGTGTCCACCAGTAGCTCCTGAGTGTCCACCAGTAGCTCCTGAGTGTCAACCAGTAACTCCAAAGTGTCCACCAGTAACTCCTAAGTGTCCACCAGTAGCTCCTGAGTGTCCACCAGTAGCTCCTGAGTGTCCACAAAACCCACAGAATTATCCATGTGCCTTAAGTGTCCACCAGTAGCTCCTGAGTGTCCACCAGTAGCTCCTGAGTGTCAACCAAGTGTCTGTTAATACATGCGTGTTAGAGGCAGGAAACACAATCGTAGCCGCATCCATCATAAACTGTTATTTTCTTCACTCTCAGAATTTTAATATCAGCTTTTCGCCTCCAGGAAACACTCGAGAATAATAGAAAAATACTCATAACTTTTGAAGACCAGTCGAGGAAGATTACAGGAGTGTGTGTGATGAACGGTGTATGACCCTCACGCCTGGCGGATAACGGTTGTTTATTTCTTGATGGTGTTGTGGTAGTTATGGGCGCTGCGGAGAACAGACGAAGTCCCTCATATAGTATTGACACACACACACGCACACAAGCAGTTAATATGATACACACTGTGCGGATAGAGTTAGTCCTTTATTCTACAGGTAGGTAGGTTGGTTGGTTGGTAGGTTGGTTGGTTGGTTGGTAGGTTGGTTGGTTGGTTGGTTGGTTGGTAGGTAGGTAGGTTGGTTGGTTGGTAGTTATGTGCAACCTGTGGGTTTTCTCTCCCCTTATGGTAAATTACTTGTTAAGGAAACTTTGCCATTCTAGACCAGTTCATACCAGTGCTAATAGTTCACAGTTCTTATGGACCCCACGCCAGTAGACCCCTAGTCCTAATACACCCTAGTACTAAGTGATACCACGCTATTAGAACCCAATCCTAACAATACCCTCACCTGGCCACCTGAACACCTGGCCACCTGAACACCTGGCCACCTGAACACCTGGCCACCTGAACACCTGGCCACCCTCATACCACCACCTCAAGTGTTGGTCGTCACGCACTGGGATGAAATTGAGGACATAAGTTTCTCTTGATTTGAGTCTTCCGTCGTCGCCTTGGCCCGCCGGAGCTCCGTGGTCTCTCTCCCTCGTTAGTCGCCACCGTCTGATTTCTTTGTTATTTTCTTTGTTTCTGAGGAGGAATGAGAGGGAGGGAGGGTGGAGGAGCGAGAGGGGAGGGGGGAGTGAGAGGGAGGTATGGGGAGGAGTGAGAGGGAGGTATGGGAAAGGAGTGAGAGGGAGGGGATGGGAAAGGAGTGAGAGGGAGGGGATGGGAAAGGGGTGAGAGTGAAGGGAAGGAGTGTTAGGGAGGGGAAGGAGTGAGAGGACGGGAGAGGAGTGAGAGGGCGGGAGAGGAGTGAGAGGGAGGGGGAAGAGTGAAAGGAAGAGTTTAATGCAGTATTTGTGTATGTGTGACGTAATTAACCACGAATTTTTCACATGTATGACTATAACCCCGCTAAAACAAAATTGAGGGTCCCATAATTATTTAACCCCGCTAAAGCAACCCATAACTACACAAACCTCACTAAAACACACACGTGGGTCATCTCGTCTCCTGGTAGACTCTCAGAACTCCCAGCTACCACAAGTGACGGCCATTTATAAACAATATCAAGAAGGTCAAACTAGGGTCGATTGTATTATAAATTCATATGAAAAATATTCCAAGTTAGTAAATATAGATGAGTGTATCTAATTAAGCTATAAGTTAAATTGTATTACAGGACGTCCACATTTAGCTTTGTCTTTAAGGGTTGATTCCATTACAATATTTCGTTTGAAGACTCAGTGCAATAACTTTCTCTCTTAAATGGTATTAAGTGAAGCTAATTTGTTGGGGGTTTGAGTTTCAGTGTAATTTTAGTTGCTGTATTTTTATGTTTTTGTGTCTCACCTGTCTGTCTCACCTGTTTGTTTCACCTGCCTGTCTCACCTGTTTGTTTCACCTGCCTGTCTGTCTTACCTGTCTGTTTCACCTGCCTGTCTCACCTGTCTGTCTCACCTGCCTGTCTCACCTGTCTGTCTCACCTGCCTGTCTCACCTGTCTGTTTCACCTGCCTGTCTCACCTGCCTGTTTCACCTGCCTGTTTCACCTGTCTATCTCACCTGTATCTCACCTGTGTCTCACCTGTCTGTCTCACCTGTCTATCTCACCTGTGTCTCACCTGCCTGTCTCACCTGTCTGTCTCACCTGTCTGTCTCACCTGTCTGTCTCACCTGTCTGTCTCACCTGTAGCTCACCTGTGTCTCACCTGTCTGTCTCACCTGTATCTCACATATGTCTCACCTGTCTGTCTCACCTGTATCTCACCTGTCCATCTCACCTGTCTGTCTCACCTGTATCTCACCTGCCTGTCTCACCTGTCTGTCTCACCTGTATCTCACCTGTCTGTCTCACCCCTGTCTGTCTCCTGTATCTCACCTGTCTGTCTCTTTCTCTGTCTCACCTGCCTGTCTCACCTCTGTCTCACCTGTCTGTCTCACCTGTATCTCCTGTCCATCTCACCTGTCTGTCTCACCTGTCTGTCTCACCTGTCTGTCTCACCTGTAGCTCACCTGTGTCTCACCTGTCTGTCTCACCTGTATCTCACATATGTCTCACCTGTCTGTCTCACCTGTATCTCACCTGTCCATCTCACCTGTCTGTCTCACCTGTATCTCACCTGCCTGTCTCACCTGTCTGTCTCACCTGTATCTCACCTGTCCATCTCACCTATCTGACGTATCTCTTTTGTTTAGTTATTTTATAAAACAAAACACACAATACACATTATTTGGTATAATTTTTGTTTCTATTTCCATTCAGTTTTGTTGTATGTCAATGTATATATATGTGTAATGTATTTATGTATAATTGTATATATGTATAATATATGTATAATGTGTATATATGTTGACGTGAATGTTTTAATGCTATTACCACGCTTAAGGAACTAAGGTCTTTGAGCGTGTAACAAGATTAGTTACGGCAGTAGCCCAACAACAGCTAATGTCACGGTAGGTAGACTAATACCCTGTGTATGTTTATGTCTTCACTCTTAATTTATCTAATTTAAATGTTTATGGTTAATCTTCATTGTTCTTTTAATTAATGACTTTATTATTACAATGTTAAGTGGTTTATATTTATATAGACACACACATAAGCCGCTCTCTGTATTTTCTTGAGTATAAGTAATTTTTTCCTTATTCATTTCCCCAATTTTAATATAACTATTTTAATTTATCTAGATTTATAAAATTTTCTGGGACTTATTTTTGTTTTATTTATGTTTAAAATATTTGTGTACCTTTATTTTTCTTATCTTTTATCTGATCTTGTAATAATGGCAAGTTTCGGGTGGATGGCGTGAGAGGACAGCATTGCCAGGCAGTAGTTGTGGTGTGGCGTGATAGCTGTGTGTTAACCGCCCCTCCCCGTACGCGACGCCTTCATTACCACCCAAACATTTTCACTGTAACGCCCGAGAGCAAAGTTATCGTACACTACAAAGCGTTTGGGCGATATGTCAAGGGGCAGTTTAAAGGAGATTTTTCGTATGTGATATTCAAATTGTTTTATGTTTTAAGAAGAACAAGAAAAACAAAAGAAAAACAAAAGAAAAACAAAAGAAAAACAGACAAATTGATTAAGGTATCAGTAAAACATTCCTCACGTGCAGGTCTCGGCAGTAGGAGGGGGGCGAGGCACTCAGCCTGGCCAAGAGCCCTACACAAAGCCACACACACACACAGAGAAGACACAGTTGAAGTGGTGATGGTGACGACTGCGCTGCCCAGGTGATGTAGTGACCCTCGGACCTGATAACCTGTGTTCAGTCCCCCCCATCCCGCCTGCCTCCTCGTGTGGACAGAGGATTACCTCCACTTGGTGTTTTTGTTGTTGATGAAAGGTTAGAGTTCTCAAGTCTCTCTGTCTGTCTGTCTTTGTTTCTGTCTGTCTGTCTGTGTAATGATAATAAAATTAACAGTTTACTGAGAGAAGATAGCAGCCAGAAATGATATAAATTCCATGCATAAAGAGAGGTTGGGGAGTGGGTCACGTAACGTAAGGTTTCAGTACAGCAACAGGAGGAGGAAACAGGTGGTGGACAAACAAGTTAACTCGTGTCTAATACTGTTGTTATCTGTGGCTGGAGAGGAGCTGGTCTTAGTCTTGATGCAGCTGTGGTGTTGTACAGCTGGACGGTCACAGTGTGCGTGCTGGTCTTAGTCCTGATGCAGCTGTGGTGTTGTACAGCTGGACGGTACAGTCTGCGTGCTGGTCTTAGTCCTGATGCAGCTGTGGTGTTGTACAGCTGGACGGTCACAGTCTGCGTGCTGGTCTTAGTCCTGATGCAGCTGTAGTGTTGTACAACTGGACGGTCACAGTCTGCGTGCTGGTCTTAGTCCTAATGCAGCTGTGGTGTTGTACAGCTGGACGGTCACAGTCTGCGTGCTGGTCTTAGTCCTGATGCAGCTGTGGTGTTGTACAGCTGGACGGTCACAGTGTGCGTGCTGGTCTTAGTCCTGATGCAGCTGTGGTGTTGTACAGCTGGTGTTACTTTTTTCATGTTACTTTCTTTCCGATCACTGGTCTCACTAGGGTGTGGCACTTGGGTGTTAGTAGGTCTGGCCGGGTCTCCCTTTGCCCCTCGTAAGTCTGGTGTCTCACTGCCAGGTGTTACCATTGTCAACACTTGTTTCCGTTGTTTATCGATTCATATTTTCACTATGTGTCATTTGTGGTGAGTTGATAAACAAATCCTTGCAATGGTTCCTTGGTGGGGAGGAGGGTCACAGCGCCGAGGACAACACGTCTGTCCTCGACTGTTTTATTGGAACTTCAAATCTTGTTTTTAATTTTTGTCGTATTTTCGTTTTTCCTTTTCGATATTATATATTCTGGTGATGTATATAGTTACACAAGACGTGTTCCAGGTACTTGATCCCCTTATGTCTTCATCGTCACTGTATTCAAGGTTTTAATAGGACTCCTCCTCCAAGATACATTGACCCTTACTTCAGCCCGCTACAGATGCCATCAGCCACACCGGTAATTGTGACTGGTTGGCACAGGGCGTGAGAACCAACCAATCAGGTGTTTCACGCTCCACCGTCTTGTATTTTAAAAGTTTTCATAGTGGAGATTTTTTTTTTTTACCCTAAACTTTGAGGTAAGGAAATATACTGAGGTAGAGTCTCTGTTTGACTTGGGTGACATTGTGTACATGTGAGAAGTATGTGTCCGGTAAGGGAGTGTTTTATCGGAGAATTTTTGCAGTATCCGGTCCTATCGGCTCTCTCCCACCAGAACGCCTCTCCTCATATCACGGACGTTTGGTTCATCTCCGTCCCATCAAAACCTCTATTTTTTTTTTAACTGACCGATTTTTTATTTATTATTTTTTTACAACGAGAGAAAATATTAGTATGTCTAGTGGATAGAAATTTGGCTGCCATAAACTTGAAAAAATATGAACTGTTGAACACAAAAAAATGCTTAGCTATTCCTTTTTCCTTCCAGTTGTATTGAAGAAAATCAGTGTTTCTCATCTGTGTAGACCAGCAGGGAAACAATGAGAAAAACACGTCACGTACATACTGTATGTTATTCTGTTCCTTTTAGAAGATAAACTTTTCTTTGAGTTGTGAGAAAATTTCCTGTTTTATTTATTTTTGGTGAATTTTTCTTCCCTCTACACCTGCTTCTCTTAACACAAACATTCTACTCACTCCTGAAACAACTGGTGGTGTGTGTGTGTGTGTGTGTGTGTGTGTGTGTGTGTGTGTGTGTGTGTGTGTGTGTGTGGCGCTTATTGGAGATGTAGCCAATTAGACTTGATAAAATAATTGATAATTGTACTAAATCTGGATAACTTTTTCATTTTATTTCTACAACTTGTTGGAAATTAATTCATATATGGT